CGATCATAAATAATGAACATAATCACACCGACATACACAAAATGCCATAATTTGAATAATTCAATCTTAATTTTGTAGAACTTACCATATTAAATTAGAGTTTACAAAATATTAAGTAAAAATACATAGGTCTCCACATTGCCAAGACTCACAAAATTATTTAATAAAAATAATCGTAACTTAAGTGCTTTTAGTCTTTCTTCATGTGATTTGTCCCTGATTGTTCTGTAACATAATTTAACGTTTAAAAGGAGTACAATATAAATATATAGTTAACACTCAAAGATAAGTGATTTTTACCTTCTTCTTCGTCATTTGCATCTAGAATGTCTGGGCAGCAAATTCCATAACATATTAATGATAAAAAGCCAGCTGGTAAACCGAATAAAACCATTGTCAAGATAGGATTTCCCATCCACATAGCAGTAAGAGTTGTTCTCAATTCAAACCATGATCTGTAAATATGTATTAGCCAACTGTTTCCACCGTATCGCTGTAAATTTATATCTTGATTTTAATTTGCTTTTATTTAAAGGAATTAATTATGTTTAGAAAAAATGCAAAAATTATGTTCTATTTACCGGAGCGCTTTCGTTACGAATTTGCTCTAGGAACAACTCTATCACATGAGGCGTTAATTTTTCTGTTTCATCCTCTGGAATGTGATGATGATTTGTCGTAGTGTTAATAACAATTAAACTTGGCAAAGGAAGAACCATCATCGCTATACTATTGACTAGTTCAGGACTAGCTATCCAACCGAATTGGAAGTGGCTAGTTAAAGAAGTTATGATTAATTTTTCATGAAGACAAAATAGCTTGAAAATTCTGCTGAAATGACTTACTCGTGATATTTTTCTCGTTTGCTTTTAATTATAGACTCCACCATATCTTTGAACCGCAACATGTGTGGTGGTACTTTCTCTAATTGATTCTCTTCCACAACTGCTAGAACCAAATTTTTATTTGTTAAAAACAATTGATTTATATTTCCTCTGGTCACTTTTGGGAACGTTGGAAAACGTTCCGAGTTTATCCACTTGTACAACGTGTCATTCAATTGTTCTATATCACTTGTAGTATGACCTGCATAAAAACGTGTATGCATAGATCAGTTTTTCTAATTACATATGTACATAATTGTAGAATTATTTGTATTTCCATAAAATTTTACCAGTAAAATTGTAATGATAATTTTCTTTGTAAACAAATAATGCTGGAACACTTTCTACTGGAGCATGCTTGTTGACAACACCTGGATGAGACTGATAGAAAAACGCATGCGGTTGGAACACATCTGCAGTCTTGTGGTAATATTCCTATACATATTCACTTTTTATTGCTTAATTCTTTTGGTAATATTATAATCAAAATAACACTGTAGTCTTACCCATAATGGTCCAACTTTCTCTCCGACATACAAAAAGTATAAGCCGCGTTCTCTTTTAATTGTGTCAAAACTTTGAGTTTTTGTTATCTCTTGAACTGGTGGACCACTCACCCTTAACGCAAATTTTACTATCTCGTCTCTCGTTCTGTCTCCATGGTATGTAAACTCCTGTTCTCCTTTTAAACTATACGAAAACAAGTATTATTCATGTAAATAACTGCTTTTATAATATAAGACCACAGATTATTGTGTTTCTTACAATAGAATGGTTGGAAATCCTTTGACTTTGAAAGCATGTGCTACACTTGTAAATCGAGTGCAATCAACACGCCCTACACGTATTGATGTCGCATGTAAATGTTGTGCTACATGGGCCCAAATTGGTTCTAATCTTTTACAGTGTGCGCACCACGGTGCATACATCTGAAGGAAAAAGAGATGTTTAACTTTGCGTATAATAAATTTGATACGTTCAGTTTATAAATCTGTTTATATACCATTACTAGCCATTGTCCATCTTTATGAATGTCCAAGAATCTGAAAAAGAAAGTCGATAAATACACATATGTGTATAGACACAATAAATATATACTTATATGTAAATAATAGTGTTATATGATATAATTATGAGTATTTCACACCTGTCGCTTAATTCAAGTACACGTGATGCCGTTATATGTGTGAGAATTCCTGAAAAAGCTACATTACATTTTAATAATGGACATTGTATCTTTTATGCGATATAGAAAATAAAAAATATTTTATATAAAATAGCTAATGTCGTGAGAAACAACTAATTAACAAAGGAACTAAGTCGTTGTTTTGCGTTAATAAGAAAAACAAAGTATTGAACTGATAGTATGTATAAATTCAAACGGAGGTACATTTATTTCCTTATACCAAAATACATTCACGAACAGGCATGCTATTTTTCAAACGCTTTCTCTGAAGAAGAAAATAAACATTATCGTTCCGGTAAATAAACTTGAGAAACAAAATCAAATTAAAAGTGTTCCGTGACACTAGTAAATTATCGATCGATAGTGGTCAAGGTTATGAAATGATATAACGAATTATAAACGAATATATTTTTGGAACGAAGGTTAAAGCTACATTGGCGTGACGAAATAATCAGCGTTCGCGTGTAGTACACTTACCATAAACAATTGCGATGAGCACGAATTTCGTTAATGTTACCATTGCAGCAAAAAGATTGTTAAATGGACGTAGCCTTTTCCCGTATCAATCTAGAATGTTACACATCATTTATTTCGATACACACGATTACAACAGTGAGCATTTCTAGCCGTCAAATTTCCACGCACACGACAAATTCCAGTACATTTCTACCATGTTTTCGTTGTACAACGCCACACGGTCTTCATACCGGCATCCACACTGAACTGCTGATCCTGATGCTGAGGTCAGGTGCTGAATGCTGAAGTTGAGCTTTGCGCTTCAGCCACAATAACTGCGTGAATACAATATGCGAAAGCATTGCACAGAGTGGGGATTCAAAAAATGCAGAAAGTGCAAGTTTATAAAACGGTTTCCTATCGATGCGTATTTTTCAACGACTCGTTAAGTGGAAACCACAAACCCGAGGCTCAACGGCAATTAGAAATATTTAGTGGCATTTCTTGCAAGAACTAATAAAGTCTTTTGCATTGAAAAAAAATTAATCGCCCCAAAAGTACAATTGTACAAATTATTTTGATTATATAATTTTGCGCGATTAATATGTTCGATTTCTATTCCATGTATATACATATGTGCCAAAGTGACAGTGAAACGTATCTAACATGATCTTTAATACCGAACAACTGGTGAGTCGAATATCAATATAATTTAATTTTGTTTGTGCATCGTGCGGAATGCATTTAGCATTCGGATGTGTTTGAAGAAAATTTCAAGCTTCTTTTGCATCTTCGTGTAATTTTTAAATGTGCGTTTATGTGTCGGAATATTCGAAAGTTTGTTTATTTTATTCAAACGTATCTCCCGCTTCTGCGTCGAACTCAACCTCTCCCGAGTCCTGAAAAGTATAACGTAAAATGAACGGCGCTACGTGTCATGCGTAGAAAAATTATGCAAATCTTCGTCGATATCTTAAATTATAAGCGTTCATCCACTTACGTAAAATTTTAATCGGTAATCCTGCTATTGCCAATGCTATTGAGCAATTCTAACATAAAAATAATCATCGCACAAATTATGCGATGCATAATTACAGTGATAGCGATGCACACGTAGGATAGAACTATAAAAGGAAGAAAAATGACGGTGATAGCAATGCTAGCCAATCTTGCCAGTTGATTGCCCATTTTTATCTCCTTTTTACGATATTTACTTTTTTATAATTACATGTACGATGGAAATGATGGACGAGGTTATCTATTATAAATTTTGGGGTAAATTTAATAAATCTTCCTCATCGTTTTTTTTTTACTTCCGAGAAATCTTCAAACGTGTCAAACTTTATAAATTGATATTGCGAAGAAGCAGACGACATTGTCACGAGAGGAAGTTGGAGCATCCATATTTGAAAAAAGTGATCAAGTTAAATATTTAATGATATATTATATTAATATATATTAATATTTATTATTATATTATATATATATTATTTTATTTTTTTCAGAAAAATATAGCATGCTTTCCTTTTTTATGTTTCATAGTATCCGATAGAAAAACTATAAGATTAGGAGTACGGTATATAAATACGTTAAATATTTCTATATTTTTTAATAGCATAACAATTTCAACATGAAAAGTTACAAACATACGGGAGAAAATTGAAAGATTGAGTTCACCTAAATCAAGTCTATAATTGTTTAACAAGCTTTTAAACAATATTGTTGCGTTGAGCAACTGTTGTGCACAATTTAATTTGTAATTGTAACTTTTGTTTTCAAGAGAAATAAACACATTTTCGTTTCAATAGTACATGTATTTATAAAGACGATTCTTCACAAACTCCACATTATTACAAAAATTACAAAACTCAGAGCAGCTTAAGGCTACTTATATTATATTGCAAAGAATACACTTAGAATAAATAATAAAGCTTAATTCATTGTGCGGATAATTACGGTTTCTCTTATCGCAAAATATTTCTTAAGATACAAGTAACACGCTATTTCGCAAAATAAAACGATAACTTCGTGTAAAAGGATCTTACAATATTCTGCCTGTGCTCACTTTAAGGGATGTTCCATTCTGCTTCATACGTATCGAACGTAACAATTGTATCGTCTCTATAAGAAAGAATAACAATGTAATTATTTAAATTAGAATAAACAATTTTCCAATAAAGTCCCCTTAAAAGTTCAAGTTGTATGAGAAAGCAGAGATTCTATAAAATGTGCACAAGCAAAATACGGTCTACTTTCTTCACACGATATTAATCAAGTAGTCTACATCTATTCCTACAACGAAGCTGGTTCAAGAAAGATTTTTCTTTCTTCTAGGCAATGGGACGGGCACTTCATTCTCAATAGTAAAAGTCGCGTTGCTGATCACCGAGCTATCGCTTCCTGGACGTAAATCCTTCACATAATTTTCCATGTCGTTTTCGATCAGATCTTCGCTTTCGATTAATTTGATCGAGCCTTCGTCGCTGTTCCCTTCAACGTTATCCTTCTCTACAACATACGTACCGGCACTACCGGAAGAATTCGATGAGTCATTATTGAAATAAGCAGTTTTCAGAAACTCCTTCGGTTTCATTTCTCTTCCCTCGACTGGAATAATGAAAGAAGACTCCGTGCTTCTCGCTGTACAAGCTTTATTCCGCTGATAATTCGCAGCACTGTCGGAGAAGGTCTTCAGGACTTCGTCTTCGTATTCATTGCTCTTCGACACTTTAGCGCTTTGGGATCTCTCTTTCCAATCTCTGGGTTTCCTCGCGGGCTTCGACTCCACGACCTTTCTCATCGGTTTCACGCTGCTGGTCGTACTCGATTCGACGCACGAATTCGAACAGTCGTCGGCGCTCAAATAAGCAAACGATTTCTTCTTCTCCGCTCTTATCCTCCTTCTTTCCACGTTCTCGTCTTGTATCGTGAAGATCCCGCCTTTGTTCGCCTCTCGAGTAAACGAAAAGCTCTTCCCGCATTCTATGTCGCCGGAGGACCTGGACGTGTTCGATAAAATCCTATCGATTTTCTCGATGATATTGTACAGCCGATTAGCGCTTCGATTCTTCATCGTTTCCTCGGTCTCGTTCAATCGCATCAGCTTCAATCTCGTGTCCGTGTATTTCGCGTCTTTATCGAACGTTTCGCCGGCGTACGATTTCGCGCTCGCGCCGGATTGCGAATTTCTTTCTTTCAAAGCGTTGTCCGGCGTGTGAATTCTGCTGCTCGACCGCGATCTCTCCGCGGCCATCGTCGGTGTGTTCACAGCTCTTACAGACGTCTCGCCGACGTTCATTCTCGTTCTGCTATCCTCCAGCATTCTCAAGCCTACGTCCTCCGGGTTCGCTTCCTTGTTGAATTTTAGAATTTTCACCGACGCTGGGCTACCGAACGTCGAGAATACTATCATGTGGTCGTACGGATGATAGTCCACGCATGTCACCGCGCGTAAATTCCGCTCGAAACTGTACTTCGCTACGAGACATCCGGTCTCTAAGTTCCATGCCTTCAACGTAGAATCCTCGCCCCCGCAAAGAATTAGACCGCCGCACGGAGATATGCACGCCACCGATTGTATCCTAAAATGAAAAAAATCCTTCGTTGATCGTGTTAATTCGCAATTTGACGTGTTGCTGAACGAAGAGCGTACCTTCGATTGTTTACCTCGCTGTATTTCTGCAATACGACACCGGTTGCCAGATCCAACATCCGTAATCCGTTGTTCCGCGAATGGACGAGCAGCCTAGATTCCAGGGGATGCAAAAGGATGGTGTTAACGATCACGCCGCTGATTTCTCGGACCTTTATCTTCCGCGAAATCTGCCATTCCTTGCGGCTCAATCTGCTCCGAATTTTCTTCGCCGTCCATAATATTATTACACCAACGCTGTCCGCGGTCAACAGATTGCTGTTCTTTTGGAAGCACATAGCATTTATAAATCCCTCGTGACCCTCCAGCTCCTGACCGAGATCTCGACCTTTCGATCTTCTGCCACGCTTCCAGATGCGAACCGTACGATCGTAGCATCCTGTCGCAACGATCAGAGCGCTTTCCGGATCGAATTTGCCGCAGTACACGTACGAAGGATGCGGCATCATCTGTTACATTAATTTCATTAACTCGGTTACATTAATTTCATTAACCAATCTACTACTACAATGTGCAATCGCACGGACACCCTTACTTCCGTGTGTTGCACGATTTGATTCTGCACGTCCCAAACACGAGCGGTCTGATCCGACGAGACGGAGAGTAGATGGTTATCGTTCTCGGACCAATTCAGAGAGTACACGAAGTTCTTGTGCCCGGAGAATCGTACATGAACTTGTTTCGTTTCGATCTAACGACAGCAAAGAAATCTCTGATATAGTTTCGACGAACGATACAAACGAATCTGTAGAAATATTATTTTATACGTACAGGGTGTCCCAAAAATGTCTAGTCGAGTTCCTCGGATCATTTGAAGCAACTTTTTCCTTTGCGAAAATGTTCTCCGAGGCAGCGTTAACGAGTTATCAACGAAAAACAGTGACCAATAAGGAATCGAGTACGGCCGACGCGAGGCAGCCCAGTCAACCAGCGCGCGAAGCCCAGTTCCGCTCGTTGTCTCGGTTGCCTCGCGCCAGCCGAGCTCGCCTCTCATTGGTCACTGTTTTTCGTTGATAACTCGTTAACGGTGCCTCGGAGAACATTTTTGTAAAGGAGAAAGTTGCTTCGAATGACCCGAGGAACCCGCCAATTTCGGATTGCGAGACATTTTTGGGACAGCCTTTATACGGTCGCGTATGAAAATTGCATCACTAAGAAAGTCCAAAGAGTAAAATGTCGAAGATTATAGCTTAATCTCGAGATAATGTTTTGCGTTTTTTATCTACAAGGTATAGGATGCTGGAAATTTCACCGAACGAACGAATTCAGCACTTTCCTCGGTGCTGCAATTTCTACACGCGCCAATATATTTCTCCACCTCGTAAACGACCAAAGGATAATTATGTTCTTCCGAGTGACAGCAAGCCAAGTATTTGCCGTTGTTACTGAAAGCTGCGAAGAAGCATCCGTTCTCGCTGATCTCGGTCTCGAAGGTGATCTCGTTCGGTATTTTGCAAGACTGCGCGGACAACCGCGACCACTTCGGCAAATCGATGGAATTCGTCGTGTGGCTTGATACTTTTTGCGGCTCGCTGCGTGCGTCGGATAACGATAACTCGTTCAACGATAGTTGCTGATAGAGAACCGGTTCCAATTTCGGCGGATCGATCGACATTATCGTGACGAACAAGCTGCTAGGATATTTCTCTCTGACACTGGATCTCCACCATGTGTACACCTAATAAATCAATGAAAACCTTACAATCCATTTTTATATAACAACGCGCTTTGCATCATAGATATTAGTGATAGCAATATATCTTGTACACGCCCAGAGTACGTTACATAAAATTAATCACTTACTTCGCACGCATGAAATCGTTCGAACTTTTTCACGGTTTTGCGACATTTGTACAATTGTAATCGAACTTTTCGATCGATGTGAACGACGCTGTTTCTTCCCACGGGTTTCAAGAAGGCCCAAGCAATCTTGTACCAACAACCTTCGTGGCCTGCATGCAACATTTGTAAAAACATGTCAGAATGAGCTTACATAATGATGTAACACGGGATGTCGAAGAAAGAATTGATCGAACTGTTTGGGAACGGATAGCAAAATTACGGATAAAAATGCAAGTGTGTCTAAGAATTGTAATTTTACTTGTTCATATTTAAATGACTCCCTTAATACGACGAAATTCTATTACAAATAATTATACAGCGAATAGTATAATAGTATGGTAGTTGTATATAGTTATATATAATACTAAATATATTATATATAATATATATAAATATACTAAATACATATAAATATATATAACATATATATACAGGATGTTCCACAATTATTTTAACAGCCGAAAATGAGGGGTAGCTGAGGCCATTTGAAGTAACTTTTTCCTTTGCGAAAATGCGATCTGCGGCTTTGTTTACGAGTCATTAACGGAAAACATTGACCAATGAGAGGTGACGGCGCGAAGTTCGAGAGCCCGCAGCACGAGGCTTTGATAGACGGTCGGGACGGACTCGAGCCGCGTTCGAAGTATTGAACAAATCATGAAGCGAGAACTTTCCGGATTTTTTTTTTTACTACGTAACAGTGATATTTTTAAGAGAAACGCTGTTCACCTTTACTTTAGAACGTCTGAAGAATATTTACTAATTTTTCGGACCCGAAATAGTAAGTAATTTAACCGTGACGGTCATTTTCATTTTCTAGTGTGCACAACACCTTGTGCGTAACATATGAAATTTTTAAGCAAGATGTACAGTGAAAATTAACAAAGTACGTAAATGATATTTTAATTTAAATAATTCCGTGTCGGAATACAGTTCAACGAATGATTCGCAAAGCTAATTTAATAAATAATAATCGTGTTAAAGGACGCAAGGGATATGTTT